GGCCGGCCGCAAAACTGATCACTCTAGTCACTACACAAGTCACTTAAGTATCGGATTGTCCGTGTGGGGAGACTTGTGTGACTTACTCCCTATCCTCGCAGCACGAGCCGGTCCCACGAAAATTTTTGTGACTAAAGTGACTAGATCCTTCGCCTCGGGATCGGATTACTCGGATTACCTCTGGAGTATCCTCCGGATTACGTTGATTTTTCTCTATATTTACCCAGGATTGCCCCGGATTTTTCGAATTTCCTCGGATTACACCTGTCGGATAACCTAACGGCCGTCAGCCGAATGAACTTAATCGCTCTCCCCTCGACAGCCCCATGTAAGAATTATTGTGTCTTTCACCTAGAAAAATACCTGCATCTTATTTCAATGTGCACAAGGCCACGCCTCCGCCACATGGATATCAAAATCGTCAATTCCCATTTATAATAGTAGGGCACGATGTAGTGAGCCCCCTGGTGGCGGCACTGTGGCGCGCAAAGTGGCACCAGATCCCGTAGCATTAAGTCGGTTCGCCCGGCGATCGGCCGTGGGACACCCTCTCCCTACCCCTCCGCTGACCCCTCGCCTGTGTCCAGCCCCGCGACGTCCAGGTTGCCGGGGAAACATGGGATAATCCCGTCGCCTCTGTCGTCGGGTATCTGGCTACCTGGACGGCGCGGGGCTGGACACAGGCGAGGGGACAGCGGAGGGGTAGGGAGGGGGTGTCCCACGACCGATCGCCACGCTGCGGTGGTGGCCGGGCGAACCGACTTAATGCTACGGGATCTGGTGCCCCTTTCTGCGCGCTGCGGCATAGGCAGAGCCCCCACCGGGGGGCTCACTACATTGCGTAGCAGGCTAGAGTGATTTACAAAGCCCACATTTTAGTTTGAAGTTGGTGGGTGTCTTCAGGTGTCGATAGTGATGACAGTCATCGTTTCACTTCTCATTGCCGCGGCCTCCTGCACGGCGGTCTCGTACCTCGAAGTCAGCCCGAACATTCGCTTCATTTCTGGACTGATGGCTGCTTCCGTGTCACAAGGCGTCTACGTGTTCCGGCGTCAAGACGTGCAAGAGATTGTTGGTTGCATGGCTTCCTTGGCGAAACAGGCTGAGTACAGCACTCATGTCGATGTACGTAACTCTTCCCCCTATTCTGTTCAAAAACACATGTGAAAACATCCGCGACATGCAAAGTCAGCGTTAAGGGAGGGTGGGGCAGTGTGCAACAGATTTTGGCATTTGGCAATAAAAGTCAAACCATGAAAAAAAAAGTTCCGTTCAGGAACGGATCGTGAAAGCAGATGATACGAATTCAAGAATTATTCCAGTCTATAATATTTCAATAGGAGATCACGGGACGCATTAGTTGCAGAAGTATATAGATAATTTACAAATCTTAATTCACATTTAATGACGTACTTATACATGAAAAGTTTTCGGTTTTGTTCCGTGTCTCCTATACTTTGTAATGTTTTGAACGGTCAAAGACAAAGTTAGTGGGAAGAGGGACGTAGAGACAGTTTGCAAGTGATACTGCTCAATAGAGACATGGTCTGAAAATAATGTTTCTGAATTCCTTTAGTTCTGTCTCTTCATAGTTAGGTTAGAGCTTGAATTACCGCGCCGCGCGCATCCCTCAGCCGAGACGATCCGAGCCGAGCTCCGAGCTGCTGTACAAACTCAAGTCGGTGACGTGCACAAGAGCGAACTGTCACAAGCGCGACCCGTCGTAAGCGCGAATGCCACAAGCGCGACCCGGCGCAAGCGCGAACGCCGCAAGACCGAACGACCGCAAGCGCGAAGTGTCGGAAGCGCGACCCGCCACAAGAGCGACCCTCGCTTACGGGCAAGCAGCTTTAGGCTTCCCATAAAAAGAATAGTGCACCTCAATAGAGCTAATAGAGATCAAATGGCTCCCCGTCAGCTTCAGCACGACTTCGGCACGACTTCGGCACCCGCAAGATCTCACCAGTCCTCGCGAGTCCTCGCGATTGTGTCCGCGAGGAAATTCGCGAAAGGACACCGCGAACCCCCGCGAAAGGATCCGCGATCACTAAAGGACACCCACGAACAGACCCACGATCACTTAAAATAGGACACCCGCGACAGGAGACTCACGACTCGCGACCGCGACTCGCGATCCTACTCCATCCCCCAGCCACAGGTGCCGAAGTCGAAGCGAAGCCATTGGACCTGGACCTCTATTAGCCCTTTTGAGCAGCACTAGAAGTCTTTTGCTCGGAAGACTATTGCCACAGCGAGACGGGCGAGATCGAGGCGTAGGTCTAGAGGGTCTCGCAGTCGTGTATGAGTGATTCGGAGGAACTGTGCAGGGACATTCATGTTATGAACGTTTTACCAATACAAGTACACGTAACATAGACAGCAAACCGATGTCAAGGCTGGTCACGGTTAAGCAGCAGCAGCAGATAATCAACGGCCAGAATTCTTCCGAATCCCTCATACACGACTGCGAGACCCTCTCCCTCTCGACCTACGCGTCGATGGCGCCCGTCTAGCCGTGGCAAGCCGCTTGCGCGTAAGCTGCGCCTCGCGAGGTTCGCTCTTGTGGCGGGTCGCGCTTCCGACACTTCGCGCTTGCGGTCGTTCGCTCTTGCGGCGTTCGCGCTTGCGCCCGGTCGCGCTTGTGGCATTCGCGCTTACGATGGGTCGCGCTTGTGACAGTTCGCTCTTACGGCGCGCGCCCACTCACGGGTGTGGCAGTATGACAGTTTAACCTGTTAGCCCACTGTGTCTCACACTTCCTAAAACTATTTTCTCTCCTCTAAAGAAAAATCTATTTTTGGAATCACCCTCGTCTTCCTCGTAAAATTCCGGTTCAAACGAGTATATGTATGATGGGGTTCTGATCGCAAACAACGACACCATGAGGACTGTTGGAAGTAACCATCTTGTTAATAATTAAATGTATTGCTGGCATTGTTGCTCTAAACCCTATCACACATATACTCGTTTGAACCGGAATTTTGCGACAAAGGTAATGGTGTTCTCAAAAATAATTGTACTTGAAGAAGAGAAAATAGTTTCAGAAAGTGTGAGACACAGTGGGCTGACAGTTTTAACTGTCATACTGTCTCACACTTGAGATTGCAGAGTGCGCTTTAAGCAAAGCGTGCTTCGGCCCCGCCTCCCCCCTCCCGACCCCCCGACCGGCTTCTCCCTCTCCAGGCGTGCACACGCACAGCGCACAGCGTCGACCGGAATCCCGGCCCCCCTATTCTATTGCGAGAGTACAAGCTGATGAAAAAACATCAA